CCGGTCCCCTCAGAGCCCAACGGCTTCCACCAAAGGACTACATTCGGGAGGAGTCGACAGTCGGAACAGAGGACGTGGTTCTGGTGTCTGCAAACCCCGCCCCCGACACGCGGAGGAGGAAGTCCGGAGACCAGGGGGCGGAGCCTGAGGTCCACTACACGGGATCTGACAGCCAGAGGGGCGACTCAGAGGGCGTGACCAAAGGTCATAAAAAGCTGGAGAGGCTAGTGAAGCCTTCGAAACATTTGCCAGGTGAGGAATTGGGGAGTTGATTTGATTGGGTTGGTTGTTTTTTTTTGTTTTTTTTTTGGGGGGGGGTGGGTTCTTTACTTATTTGTTGATTTAATTAAAGTTGGTGTCCACCATACACGCTTCTCTTCACTTTACTGTTCTTTACCCCAGTGGGGTTAAGAAAAGGAAGGTGTGTGTGTGGAGGGCAGGGGGAATGAGGGCTATGTGACTGATGTGCTTGAGGGCTCAGTGTGGGATAGTCACAGAGTAAGTCATCATTTTGTTAGTCTGCTACTACTACTGTTTCTATCTCTGTTACTGCTACTACAGTTTTATCTACTACTACTTCCACTATCGCATTACTACTACCACAGTACCACTACAGCTACCTATACCACCCCTACTCCTGCAGCTGCTAATACTACTGTCATTACTGCTATTACTGCTGCTAACACCCAGAACAGTTGTTTTTTTAACGGCTACAAACTGCTCATTTATATAATACATGTGATTGTAAGCCTGCATGTGTGTGCATGTTTGTGTGTGTGTGTGTGTGTATGTGTGTGTGTATATGTGTGGGTGTGTGTGTGGGTGTGTGTGTGTGTGTGCGCGCGTGTGCACGTGGTGAAACATCAAACCAATGTGCCAGGATCTGGAAAATAAAGATGTATTTTATCTTATTATCTTATCCAAACTAAATGTTCTTATTTACTAACTCTCTCCTTGTACCATCAGGTACATAGGCTAAGGCAGAGAGCTGTCGATGACATGTGTGTCTGTCCCCGGCCTCTTTGTCTAGCCCTAGCACTTCCAGGCCCGGGTTGATTGCCTCATCCTTTATCATGCTTCTGTGTTACTTTACTGTCAGTTGGCCTACCTATTTTGCTTTTTCCATGTGGTCTCCAGTACTTTTTCTGGTAGGGCAGTCTTGTCTACAACTACAACATTTTCTTTTTACTTGACCCCCCTCCCCTCCCCCCTCTTTCCCCCCCTCCCCTCCCCCCTCTTTCCCCCCCTCCCTCTCCCCTCTCCCCCCTTCCCTCTCCCTTCCCTCTCTCTCCTCCCTACTCTCCCCCATCCCCTCTTTACCCTCCTCTCCCCCTTCCTCCTCTTCCCACCCTCCCCTCCCCTCCTCTCCTCCCCCTCCCTCCCCTCCTCCTCCACCCCACCCATTCACCAGCTGACGTAGAGATCCCTCAAGCAGCCACACCCCTCATAGACGAGCAGGAGGATTCGAACGACCACCCGTACACCGACGTGGGCGAGCAGGGCACCACCACCACCAGCGGCACACCATCCAACAACAACCTGCCGCCAGAGGAGAACGGGGAGGGGGAGGGCAAGCTGTACACAAACTTCGGGGAGACCTCCAAGCTAGAACAGCCGTACGATATGCTCAACGTGATCCCTGAGGAAGTGGAGTACACCAACACAATGTTCAGCACCTACCAGCCGCTCACGCCTGTGAAAAAAAAGGCGCCGAAATAGGAGAAATTGGAGGGGAAATAGGAGAGGGTGAATAAAATACGTAGAAGTAGCAGGAGAAAAAGAAAGAGGGAGAAGGAGTACACCAACACAATGTTCAGCACCTACCAGCCGCTCACGCCTGTGAAAAAAAAGGCGCCGAAATAGGAGAAATTGGAGGGGAAATAGGAGAGGGAGAATTTGGAAGGAGAAATGTTTTTTTGTTTTTGTAAAGTGTTTTACGGCGCTTGCAACTGCATAGGTCATATGAGCGCGCGGGACACTCCTAATGTTTTCAGTTGGTAGGAAATTTTGAATTTTGCCCGGGTGGCGGCCGAAGCCTACTCTTATCGATTTTAAACCACCAAGGGATCTTTAACGTGCGCAACTTGCACACGGGCCCTCCGAGATTTTTTGCCCTTGTCCGAGAAGGCTAGGTGTAGATTTTTCCTACCAGAAGATCAGGGGTGTGGCAGAAATACAGCAGTAAGGAGGAGCCAAGGAGTAGCAGTAGAAAGGCTGCAGAAAGAGTCAGGAGCCCAGAGGAAGGGGCAAAGGAGGTGAGGGGATGGGGGCAGAAAGTGGAAATGAAAGCAGACAACAGAACATTGCTAGAGAGCAGGAAAGGAGGTGAAAGGAGACAATTTTAGAGAAGAAAATTGTTCGGTCGTTACCCGGATTCGAACCCGGGACCTTTGAATGAGAGGCCAACACCTTAACCTCTAGGCCACGAGAGCACCCTGAAGGAGAAATAGGTGAGGGTGAATTTGGAAGGAGAAATAGAGGAGAGGGTGAAGCTGCAGGAGAAATAGACAGAGAGGGAGATGGAGAAGCAGCTACCAGCCCCGTGAAAAAGAAGGCGTAGAAATAAAAGGAGAAATAGGAAATGGTGAAGGGGGAGGGGAAATAGGAGAGGGTGAAGAAAATAAGTAGGAGAAGTAGCAGGAGAAAAAGAAAGAGAGGGAGAAGGAGTATACCAATGCAATGTTCAGCGCCTACCAACCCCTCACACCTGTGAAGAAGAAGGCGCCGAAATAGAAGTAACAGGAGGAGGTGAAGGGAAGGGTAGAGAAGAAATTAAATAGAAGGAGAAATAGGAAGAGAGAGAGAGAAAGGGAAGATAGAGAAAAAGAGGCAGCAAGAGAAATAAAAAGAGAGGGAGAAGGAGAAGCACCTACTAGCCTCCCACGCCTGTGAAGAAGAAGGCGCAGAAGTAGGAGATGGTGAAGGAGAAATGGTATGAGAAGCAGCAGGAGAAATAGAAAAAAAGAGAGGGAGAATGAGAAGAAACAGGAGAAGTTGCTACCAGCCCCTGACCCCTGTGAAAAAGAAGGCATTGAAATATAAGGAGAAGTAGGAGAGGGTGAAGGTGAAAAAGAAATTGTTGGAGAAGCAGCGGGAGAAATAGAAGGGAAGGAGTAAGAGAAGCTGGAGAAGAAGAAGAAGGAGGGGGAGAAGATGAAGGAGAAGGAGAGGGTGTTGTTGGTAGTTTGTTATTTATCGAGTGTGTTTATTTTCTGCTGATTGTGAATGTCACTATAAAACCACTTCTTTGTCTACATAATATACATTTAATATGATGAAATATATAGATCTTTATGTCATATGTTTTTTGATTGACAAGTTGTTAACTTTACAGCACAACTCTATTGTAATGGGAAGTCTGGGTCTGCTACTTCTCTGCCGTCATTTTAAAAAATACAGTCGGCCTATATGCAGTTTTAATAATTTGATAGAAGAGCCAGAAAACTTAAACTCTTTGCAAACATCCCAAGTCAATATTTTTAAGAATATAATTTTGATTAAAAAAACCACTTTCTGGTTATCTCTACTTTAAAGCAGATATCATTTTTCTTGGTAACAACATTCAGTTTTTCTGCCCTCCAGTAAAATTGTAAAAACTGCGTATACTGTTCTTTTAAGGAAAGGACAGCAGTTCTAATGTCTCTTTGTTCCCGGTGTCTTGTCGTTTCGTTTCTAAGAAAGGTCAGGCCAATTAAAGAAAAAGATGATATGTGTCAGGAAGCGGTGGAATCAAGTATTAGTAAATTTTTGGGCATGTGGAGATATTGGTACCATTTGATAGCTTATTCACTTGCCTTGTTTCATTGAAAAAAATACCCTTCTGTCTCGAATAGAAGTTGGCAATGGTAAAATTAACCAGAAAACGTCCGCCAAAGTTTGATAACTTCAATAACTTCAGAGTAGGCCCTACTTGAAAACTGAAAAAGCCTTTAATCAACCCTTTTCAGTAAAATTCACATGGAAATGTGTTTCTATATGGAAATAAAAGGTGTGGAGCGAAAAAACAAAAAGTCAATAAAATTTGCCAAACTGGCGGAAAAGTGCCTGTTTCTTCCATTTCGTTATTTTGATGAGCGCCTGATTCCACCGTGTCATGACTCATAGTACAAGCAACACTGGTGTAAGTCGCAAAATGACGTGTTTGTGGTGGTGTCTGTGAGACAGTGCTCACTGTAAGTCACTAACCTACCCACACCGGACAGATAGAGGTGCTAAGCATGACCATGACTGAATCTATAACTTATCACCAGCTAGCATTCAACTGTTCCAAGCTCAGAAAGCAAATTTTTTTTGGGAGAGAAAAAGCAAACTTTCTTTTCTTTTCAACATTGTGCCTACATTATATTATATAGCGTTTCTTTCATTTTTCAACATTAAAATTTGAATTTTTTCAACAAAATATTTCGTGAACGAACATGTGCAGCCAATGCCACAGATTTAAGAGTCACGATTTTTTTTAAATTTCAAAATTTTGGGCTCAGTATATTTGAAAAGCAGGCCGATGTTATCTAAGTTTGTTTCTTTGTTTTTTTCATGACAAGCTGCAATGTGCATAGATATGGTGAGTCTTCCCCCCCCCCCCCTATCCCCCCCCCCCCAACCTCCCGCCCCCTATATGTACACACATTCCCTTGCTTTATACTTAATCTTTAGAGATAACGCAGTCTAAATACCCTAACCTTCTTTGATTTAGCTTATAACGTAACCTGACGTGTTAACTTATTAATTGTGTACTTGTATTGTTCTGGAGTTCAGGGTATACAGAGAAGAACAGAAAGTGAGTAAAAAGAGAATGGTTAATTTTTCATATATTTAGTATTCATTGTTCATTGTTCATTTTTTCAGGAAGCAACATCCCTGCACTCCGGACATATCTATTGATGTATATATTTGAGTAAAATCTGTCTTCTTGTGAAGTATACCAACATCATGATTGTGTCAGGCATTGTCTCTACAGTAGCCAGAAGGGAGATTCTCAAACTCTTTATGTTATGAAGTTATCTTGTAGATATTTGAACCTTGACGCAGAATTAAATGTCAGTTAAAATCATGCATAAATTTAATCATATATATATATAGAATAGATGTCTACATGTAATGATGTGAGTTGAAGTTATGTATGGGGTTTGAAAGTTGTTCAACTTCTTGTACAATAATACACTTTCCTGGACTTTGTTTGCTATCTGACATCGTTGAATGCAAACAAAGTTTTATATATACATAAAATACTACAAGGGCTTTTTTCTTTTCATTGATGTTCGCCTCTGACCATGTATGTTGCACGAGATTGATTTTCAGAAAAGCGAGAGGGGGGAAAAGTAATTACAGTATAACACGGATAGGTCGAACACAGAAGACTCTTAATCACGCTTCCGTCAAACTGTGCTTGCGGTCCCATTTTTTTTCTTCTTTACATTTTTCACGTATTCCTTGGAACTATGGACCCCTCAACCTACAGAGGCCGGTCCCGGCAAATTCGAGCTATCCGTGCTATACTGTACTTTCTAATTATCTACCAGAATAGCTCAACATTTTGTGTAGTTGTTTTACATTATATAGTAGCATCATCAATTGTAATTATGGTCATCGTCAGACATTGATGGACAAGCTATCATTATGTATTACTATTACTATCATATATTACTGGTTGTGAATGACACAATTTGAGACCAAAAAGGTGTTTGACCTAATTTGCAAGAAGCACAGCTAGAGCTGGACAGTCACATTGTGTTGTGCTGGTCCACATAAGGTTCATGACTTCTTCAACAGCCTTACCACTCTAAAGGCAGCTGAGTGATGTGTTGTTATCATGATATGTGTACACGTGTATGTGTGTCTCTACACATAATGCACCAAGTGTACATACCGGTATGTAAATATTTGAGAGTCTGGTATAATGTTTTCTGAATCATGTAATTTGCCTACATACAATGTACGCCTGTGTATTTTTAATCTCGCGTTTGTAAATTTTATAGTAGGCCTATACAGATCTGAGAGAATGTTGCTTTTGTGGGTGATAATGCAGTTATATGAGTATAATATATGAGCTCTCCTCTCACTTTGAGCTGAAAATGTGTTGTGGTACAGTCAAGCAGTGCACGTACTTCAGAGTTCAGTGAAATCAGCAGGACATGGAAATCTTTTTATGTGTATGAATTTTGCTACAAGTTTGTGCATGTTTTGCTATGTGCTTGCTTGACTGTGTGTATACGAGCTGGCTGGGGTGTTGTTGAGTGGCTGAATGACCTGTGCTACTGTGTACCCCATGTCTGATCTGTGTAGGATGGATTATAGTACAGTAGATGAATGTGTTTTTCTGAAAAATGTTCTGCTAACTTTTCTAAAAATTTGCTCTTTCTTGTGGGTGTTGACAAATCAAGCTTGTCAAATTGTCATGGTCATCGTACAACAATTGTGAGGCATCATGGTGAAATAAGGCGCTCGATAAAATAATGAAACTGAAGAAACACATTTTTCCGCCAGTTTGGTAATTTTTAGCGAATATTTGTTTTTTCGCTCACAACCTTTTAAATTTATGTTCATATTAAAACTCATTTCCATGTGTATTTTACTGAAAAACGTTGATTAAAGGCTCAAAACATATTTGATTTATCTGTTTTCAAGGAATCTCAAGTTATTGAAGTTGCCAAACTTTGGCGGCCATTTTCTCTCTAATTTTCACTGAAACCAGACGACACTACCTCTCTTCAGTTGCAAATATCTTGCTTTCTATTCAAGATAGATGGGTATTTTTTAAAATTGAAAGCAAGACAAATGCATAAACTATTAAATGATACTAATAACTCCACATGCCCAAAAATTGACGAGTGCCAGATTCCAGCGTGTAATGCAACAATTGCCTTCT